TTGGGAATTTTTGAGAATTACTAGGAATTCCTAGGAATTCCCAGAAAACTGGGAATTCAGTTTGTAAGGGTCTTTTGCATAATTGGGAATTTTTGAGAATTCCTGGGAATTCCCAGAAAACTGGAAATTCAGTTCGTAAGGGTAGTTCAGATTCAAGTCACTTGGGCTTGGAGGATCAGGCTGAATTAGGCCTGATCAGATTGGGTCACTTTATACTTTTAACTCTGTCAACTAAGACTGAGGCAACTCAGAGATCATTTGGGTCCTGAATTTATATATTTTTTTGCATGAAATTTATGTTACATTTAAATTTTGGTGTTATTTGATCTGTTCATAGGACCATTACAAAGAGTGTGAGTGGAGGCCAGTGACATGTGTTAATTCTGGCTGCAATAAAGACGTACCACTTAATACATCAGCCAAGCACCAAGAGGAGGAATGTCCTTTTAGAGATGTGGTTTGCAACTTCTGCAATAAGGCAATAAAGTGGGCTGATCAAGCAGTAAGTATATACTGGAAGCTTCATTTAGAATCAAGTAATTAGTAAGTCAGAGCCAATGATAAAATTTAAATATATTCAAGAAACCTACTTGTTTGGGGAACCTTTACTCATGATGATGCCCAGAGGCAACAACATGTTATTTAGCCTCTGCATCAATTAAGACTGAAAGGGCCTTCATTGTTTTATAATGCAGATCTAGTCCAAAAGAGTATAACCTAAGAGAAACGTACTAGAGGAAAATAGAACATAATTTATACATCCAATAGGATACTTAGTAAACTTATTGACTGGCTTCCATAACATGTAGCTTTCACTGTCATTGAGTCATTGTATTTTTTATACTATTAACATTCATTACGTTATAGAACCATAGTGAAAGCTGTGAAAATCTACATGTTACTTGTGGAAATTGTGGGAAAGAGAACATTCAACTGTGCGAGGTACAGACTTCAACCACATGAATGCAATTATTATATTAGTTGCATATTACTATTGCTATATTTTTTATGAGGGGGCGGGGGAGTTAATTATCACAATTTTCATTAACATCTATTCACCAAAGTGGAGGTGGGTATAAAAGGTGGATATTTACCTAACTGCGAAGCGGCAAGTAAATTATACAATGCTTTCAATGAGATTTGAACCCAGGGGGGTGGGCAAAAATAACGCAACGAACTTCGACGAATTTCTTGGCTTTTGGAGGAAATTTCGCTGCGAAAGAACTTTCCGCGAACGAAATTACGAACGATATTTCGCTGTGGACGCTAGTGAGTTGCGAACTCAAGAGGGAAAGTTCGCTCTTCTCGAAAGTTCGGTGCGAAATTTCGAGAGAAAATTCACTCTACTTATTACAGCGAAGTGTAGTCTATGTATTGTTGTAATGCACTGCAGAAAAACTAGAAATCAGTCTGATCCACTCAAGTAACTATTCTATCGCTCCTTGCTGTTGAAACCTCAACGAATGTTTGATTGTTGATGTGATCCGAACAGCCAGGTGTTCGAGTCTAAATAGAAACGACCACGCAAACACTCCAGGCAAGTGGAACTTGAACTGGACGCCATTTGTTGTGATTAACCTTTTCATATAACGACACATGAAATTCCCAATTTTTAGGCGAGACTCCACGCGAGGAAGCATGACGTGCTGTTCGCAACCATGGCAACACATGGTATACCAATACTTCGATTCTCTCTCTCATTCATTGATCTCGTAGCACTCTGGTAGTTATTATGCCAAAAATATCAAGCTATACTAGAACTCGAATCGAGCTCCTGTATAGCCAGGGCTTCCATCCAGCTGGAATATTTAAAACCTTGAAAAGCGAAGGGTTACAAGTGAGCCTTTCAGGTATCACTCGCTTAATCAAGAAGCTGCGTCTTACTAGCTCCGTAGCAAATTTACCTCGCTCGAGGAGACCGAAAAAGCTGTCTATGGAAGCAAGAGCTTTCATAGACCAACAGATGCGTAGGAATGACGAGACGAAGAGCGCGAAGATTCGAAAGAAGCTGGCAAAACGAGGAATTCTCGAAAGTTCGTCCACGGTGCGAAGATCGCGAAAGCAGCATAGCTGAACTCTCTTGCAAAGTAAGTTTTCGAATCTTCTTTCGCACTCTCTAAACTTCCCGCGTTAATGACGGGATTCAAATTTGTAAATGTAATCTGCGAAAACTAAAGGAACACTCAGATACCATATCTGCCAAAAACGTGTACTGTCCGTATAAGTCAAAAGCGATGCGGAAAATTTACTATTACAGCAGCATCTGATGGCATTGATCAGAACAGGCTTATGTTTTGTCTTTTCTGGTTTAAAACAAAACATAAAGTCTTTATTCTTGGTAAGTTAAGCGAGTATTTCTCATCGTTTGTATTCGTGACATAACTCCAGCCGAGGAACTGTCGTGTATTTCGTGAACGTTATATGATGGAAAGATCGCGTAAATCGCATGGCGAACAGTTGAGTCTATACAGCGCGAAATTTCGACTAGTAGGCAGTAAGCCGACGCTTTTTATGGCGAAATTTCGCTAAACTTTCGTTTCGAAGCGAAAATTCGACGAAATGGCGCTCTTTGTTCAACGGAAAATTCACTCAAAAAGCCTCGAATTGTCATTCGAACTTTCGCACGAAATTTAGTTCAAAGTTCGCGATAACAAAAAAGGAAATTCGCGCATTTCGCTTGCGTTACTTTTGCGCAAAACTGTACAAGGAAAGGACAGGGGAGGAGGCAAAGATGGCCTTCCGAATAAACGATTGCGAACTTGTAATGTTAATTTCCACTAGTAAGACCCCTGTGATGAAAATGTGAAAAAGTAAGAAAGAAAATACGATTGCACTTCCTGGCTAGATGAAAACAAATTATAATTTCATCATGCAAGGTAGGAATCTTAGCAGGAGATTCTCAGCCGCTATTTAGTTTTTATTTAAAACTGTAAGAACTGTTAATGGGAGCAAACATGCTTTTTGCCTTTTGTGATAGCCGAAAAGAATAGTTAAGCACATTGGATGACTGATATTTTTCGTGGCAACAATTACGAAGCCTTTAATTGTTACCTGTCTGCTCATTACAGTTGAAGAGGCATCAAGATGCAAAGGACGGTGATTGCACACAAAAGGAGTGTCCGTACAGAGACTACGGATGTGAGCATTGTGTAAGTTTGATAGTAATCAAATTTAGGTAAAAGCGTTTCGAGATTGAGTATCAATTTTTGAAGTTATTCTAACCGCCAGTATAATGAGGACCATATCGGAAATCAACTTGAGTGCATTTGATCTCATGCCTCAGTAAAGCGCTGGAATAGTATGTCCCCTTCGCACTTGTTTACGGTTTTTCATGCTTAATGCTTTAGTAGCATCCCAAAGAATTCCGGCTGCAAATTCAGTTCTGCTAAGGAACATTTACCCATTGTTTACTTCAGCCGTTAGCACTGCTCAAAGAAAACTTGCCCTCAACTCTCCTTATCTCTTCAGACGCCTCCATGTCATCCGCGTCACTGTGAAGCAGTGGTATAACTGAAAAATTGCCCCCTGAGACACTCATTTTAGGGCACAACTAAGCACTGCCAAACAAGAGACTTCACTTTTCAAGTCACCCACGCCTGAAAACGTAGTGTTTTAGAAGCCTTTTCTTGACATGTCTCCTTGCTAAAAGCTGGTTTGTCAGTTTTTGGACAAGGGGACTAGGCGATGTTTATCATGATGCAGTCTGTTAATTAATTTTAAAATTGTTCCAGGAGAAGATGGATCCCAAAGAGTTCAGGGCCCATTTGGATGCTGATGTGGTCCCACACTCATTGCTTGTGTTGCCACATCAGAGAGGTATGAATGACCATCGCATGGAAGCCAACGCGGCTGAGTTAAGTGCTTTAAAAGAAACTCTCGCTGCAGATGAAAAGGTCATTGCAGAACATGAGTGGGCACTCCAAAGCCACTACCAAGAAATCCGTCTTCTGAAAGAAGATATGGAGAAATTGAAAAACTCTCGCGGGTAAGGGGACGGTTGCCCGCTGCATAGATAGTACATTGATTAGCATATATACATTAATCACAGATAAGAATGGAATTTCTTTAGTAGTTAGGAATGTGAAATTGTACTGTTATGGAGTTATATGTGGTAGAAGATAATATTCGAAATGTGGACTATTTTTTAGAGATGTGACAGTGATGCAGTTAAACGGTGATAAATTTAGCACTTAGTTTTATAATGAGTAGTTTTTACCATCATCACTGTATGATACAAAATAGGTTACTAGAAATTAGTCTGGGTATTAGTCTGTGGTCGAGTTTTTAAAGGGTTTGCACAGTACACGTAGTTTTCGTTCACGTAGTTTTCGTACAAGTTTAGATAATTTTGACTGGTTTACTAAATCTCTTCTCGTTTTTGTCTATTTTTTGCAAATTTAGGGCAGCTTTTTCAACTTTAGACAGTTAAAAATGCTGTGGATCATCATTTTTTCATCGTCTAGAACTGAAGTAGATTTTTACTTGACTGTGTATATAGTTTCTTACCAGCGGCGCTTGAACGAGCGTTTAGAAGCAATTAAAGGGTAATTGGTCATTTCGCTTACGGATCGTTTGGCTAACGACGGTTGGCTGACGTCTTAGGTCATTCCGCCAACGTCCCAGGTAGTTTTGCTAACGTCTCACTGGTCGTTTCGCCAACGTTTCACAAAACCATTAGTAGTTCTATCGGCAGAACTTGATCGACTTCCTATCGAATCATAGGCAAAATGACAGTAAACCAATCAAACATGCGTTGACTCACATGGTTCTTCCACCCGCCATCCAGTCTACGTTAGACTTTACTCCATAAGTGGACAACTGTGACAAGGCTTAATCCATAGCAAAAGAATATAGTATCTAAAATGGTAGCAGTTTTTAAAAGAAGTTAAAGCAGTGATATCATCTAGGGTTAGTTATCAGACATATCAACTCTGCTATGGTCTCCCGCGTGAGCCTGCGAATACGTTCTTCAGCTTTGTCTTCGTTGTCCATTCCTAATTCAGTTTGTGTCAGACTTATATATAGGATTCCATAGTCGATTGTGGTTCAGTGTTTGGACCCAATTTTTTTAGTTTTACATGTCTCGCGATTTTTCTCCTTCCTATGTCATTGCTTTCACTTAGGGATAAATTTCATGTGCTTGCCTCCTGAAGTAGCCAGACTACGAGCAGGAGCAAAAAAGAAGCGAATATTGAAAATTGTGGTTCACCGCGCGGAACTGTGGGAGTGAGTTGCGGCGCACTAACTACAAGTACTATTTTCTTTTTGCTGATTTCGTTCGGACTCGGGCGACAGACTTCGCCGAAAAGGAGGGACTGCTCGTACCCTACAAAAAGTAATTTATTCTCGTATGCCTCTCAAAAAGGCTTTCTTCACTTTTAACCATATTTATGTGTTCTATCAAACCCGTGATATGTAATTAAGTCAGTTGATAGGAGTTGCGAAATTGGTTCCACACACTGTGCTAAAATCGACTGTCATGAGCACATAAATTTGCTATTCGTGTTTCTGTGTAATGCGAATAGTTTATTAATGATTCCATATCTGTTTTTCTTGTTGGGCCTTTGAGGTAAGTTTATTCTTTCACCCTGGTCGGACTTGATTTCGCATGCAAAAAGTTTGAAATAAGCATATTGCAGCTTGAATGTGATATACTTATGGTTAAGTATCTGGATGAAAAAGACTGTTTGAGTAATATGGAAAATTGCACCATATGCCATACGGTGACAAGGTTAATTTAATGTTGTTTCATGTTATTTCAATGTGTTGTGTAACATATTTCTGATGTAGAATTTTCATTGGTCGAAGTAGTTGAAAGTCCATGCAGTTTGCAACGGATTGTTCTAACAAACGACGGCTCTTTAGCCACAGGTTAGTTGTTTATCATATAAAGATTTTTTGAAATGACATTAACCTTCATAATAATAGGCCTGAAAGGATGGCACTTTTTCCTATAAAGACTTGATAATTTCATTCCATTCGAACAAAGTGGCTCGCACTTTTCATGAGGTAAACGTGAAACTGTGTCACGCCCTTGGGAACTATTTTTAGAACTTTGTAGGGGTTCCTCTGTCAGAGTACCATCCCCACTCAGGAATGTCTGTGGGTGCCAGCACATTGTAAGGGAAACTTTATCAATTGCTGGGAATTAACCTGCGTCGGACTAATATTCGATCCAGGGGATAAGCAACGTTCGTGGTCACTTTATTTTAGCAGAACCAAGTTAAGCACCCTTTGTGTAAGCCATTTGCAATTGGTCAATAACCCGAGAGTCTTCATGGAAAAAGAGTCACATAATGGCTCAGTATGTTACAGGTTTTCAAGTTATCATTTTGCTTGTCATTTCGGTTTGGTTTGCCTTTTAAACATATATAGCTCTGAAGGAGTAATTTTAAAAGTTTTTATTTTTTAATTTTTGATGTTCGTATGTTTTAGTGCTAGAAAGCAATATAATTATTTTGCTGTGACACTCAGGTAATGCTATAATTTCGTAAATGTTTAAATGAATAATAAGCACTTTTTAAAAGTAATTTCTAACAACTCAGGTGTTGTTGCTTAGGGTTTTTTACTCGAGGGTTTTTTACCCGTGATACGAATATTCTCTTAAAAATTCAGCCGACTGCTGGTTGTCAGTCACACGGCTGGTTTTCGTCAGTATCCATTATCACTTCAGATGGACGATGTTTTTTGCTCAGTTTAGTTATGGACCATTTGATTTTTGATGGATGGATTGGCACTTCTCGCGAAGTTATTTTATTTCCTCTTTTTTTTTTCTTTCTTTGTTTCGTTTTCCATCTGAGGGCTCGGAGTCTTCTTTGACGATTTTCAAGTTATATACATTCATTTGATACGGCATGTTTATTTTGAGTTTATTTTTAAAGTTTATTCAGTTTTTTCTTTCTTTCCTCACCCATTCCTACCATTATCAAGAGTTTAATGGTCCGTTACCTTATTCGAAAAGGCGCAAGTATACTCTAGCACAGTGCGTCATGTGTTTCTTTCGAGTATTTCATATCCGGAAAAATTTTACTTGTTTGTCAGACAATTATGACAATGCCTGCTTTTCCTACCATTTGGCATTTTCTGTTAGTTTCCTCTCTGGTCACATAGGATCAGTCTTAAAAGCCATCATTAATGTCTTTTTCTTTTTTTCGTGTCTTTTTTTAAGTAGTTACATGTTATTTTCGAGAACAGCATAATTACCAACATAATGACCAGCTCCCGGTTGGCATGTTAGCTCAGTTGGTAGAGCGCTGCACCGGTATCGCAAAGGTCATGGGTTCAAATCCCGTACGGGCCCGAATTTTTTTTTGAGGCCTTATTTCACTACTGGTTAAGTAGTGTTCATAACTGCGAAGATCGCTTCCATATTCGTAAATTAGCGTTAATTTGATTTTGTTAATTAGCCTACACAAAAAACATCGTTTTTTTTTCTTAAGGTTCAGTTAAAGAAGTTGAACTGTGTCATTATTTTGTTTTTTGCCTTGTATGAGAAATCCTACACTTTCAATGGGATTCTCTTCTTAATGTTGTCTAAAGTAAAGAAACAGCCTTATTATCATTTCCATTTGGGCAGTTAGGCAGTCATGCCAAATAGAGCGAGTGAGTTATTTAGTTAGTTTTAATGTCTAGTCATTACTTAGTCATTAATTATTACATTAGTCATATATGTGACTCTAAAAGTTGGCTCAAAACAATTTGTTTTTTTCCTTTTGTGCTAATATATTGACGGATCAATACTTAGTACTTTTGTTCTTGCTTTAACCTTTTAACTCCCAAGATCTCTTTTAGTAATTCTCCTTACTGTCTGCCATACAATTCTTATGATGTCAATTTGGAGAATTTGGTATTGGATTAGCTTATAATTCTTGAGTTGATATTTTCCTTTATCCTCATCACTTCTATGCTTGACATTGTATTGATATTGTAAGGAGAAATTCTCTCTTGGTCACTCATGAGAGGTAAAGGGTTAATTATTGATCATTCCAAAATTACAGTTGAGTCCTTTCTCTTGCACAGTATGTCACCATGGCACTACAACCTTGATTTTTGCTTAATGTGCCAGAAATTCCTACTGTTAAAGTTTGATAACCTGCAGTCATGGTGTTAAGATTAATCTTTTCCCAAAGCTCTCAAAATATATTTTACAGCTTCAGAGCTTGGATTAATTAATGGTAGTAAATGTGCGCATTATTTTTATGGGAATAAAAGAATAAAGGTGACTGTGTCGATCGATCAGAAAATTAGTATAAAAAGAGAGGAGGAAATAACAAAACCCTTTTGAGCTACCTTAGGTAATATAATTTGCAAACAATTATGTAATACAGATAAAGGTGATTAGTGGCTATTAAAAGTTTCGTTTGACTCAAGTGTTCTGTATTATTTGATAAGACTGGAATTTCGCTGTCAGTGGGGACCTTTACGTAACTGCACGTCACAAACCACTTTCTTTGCCTTGTATTCACTTTGATTGGGTTGGTCTTGAACAATGCGTTGCTCAAATTGTAACTGGGTGGTTAAGACTGGTTTTGCATCTCTGAGAAGAGGCAAAAAGTATCGAAATCTTTATTTAGCGATTTTACAAATGAATTAAATGGTTAGGTAATAAGTTATAAGTTGCATTCAAAACCAATTTGTGAGTGGATGGTTCCAACTGAACTATGCTAACATGTTACGTTCACAGAAAATCTTTGCCTCGTACTCTGTTGATCACACAGGTGCGCGGATCTCCAATCCGCCACATCGAGAGAAGAGTATAATTCAGAAACTATGACCTATCTCCGCCCCTGTTTGGATGGTTTTGAAACTTTACCTCTCATAACGGTTTGCTCGGTGTAAATATTTTAATGGTCTTGTGTATTCAATATTGTTTGATGACACCGGGATTTTCAGAAAGATTGAGTGCCACGAGGCTGCCGTCATTACTTTTTTGTTTACTTTGATTGCCTGAATTTTAATTTATAACTAAAAATGACACTGCTAGTGTTCAATAACATGGCATTTTTGAAAGTAGAAAAATTGGCTGAAATGTGGCTTTTGCATATAGCTGGCTAAGTTCGAATTCTAAGATTTTTTTAAAGAAATGTTGGGTCAGTCTCATCGGATGCGCTTTACTCAAATCTTTGACCCTAGCTAACGACATCATGACTGTTTGCTGATGTGAAGTAGCAAGACGTGCTCTATTATTGTGGTTTACGGCTCATAAAAATTATCCAGTCGTAACGCGGGAAATGTCGTAAAAAAAAAGAGACATGCCTTCGTGTGTTGAATTGGTGAGCTTCATAAATATGTGGCAGCTTAGCACAGTTCACTTAGTGAACATTAACAAATTGGAAGTTGCTTTATTTTTCCTTTACTACAAAAAAAAAATTACACTGAGCTTTCATCACCTTCAGGGTAAAAACACGAACCTCCATATTAGTTAGCAATTCAAATTTTTTCCTCACGATCATCTACAATATTTTCGCATGCGGTTCAAACTTAAAGTTTCCGGCTCAAAGTTGCCATGTACTAACGTTAGACCGCTTGTTGACGAGAACAATCCATGATTGCTTTAAAATGGCTTTCTTCAAAGTAAAACTGTCGAAATTCGAACAGAAATTGTCTCACAAAATGAAAACAACTTTGACGTTGAGAGACACGTGAAAAGACAACCTCGTTCCTGGCCTCTCTCGCTTGATTGGCCAGGCCCACCTGAAGGGGAATCCCCTAATTCGAGTTTAGAGTATGATTAATCACGAGACACGATCTTGTTGGTAGACGTTTTGGCCTCTGTAGGCGGATGTTTACAGGTATGTCTATTTTCAAGTTTATCTCATGATAAGCCCATTTAGACGTCTTTTAAAATATCAAGTGTTCATTCCTATTTTATGCTCGAAATAGGGTCGAAAAGAAGCCAACATTCGATGCAACATTGCATCGCATTGTGTTCGCATAGAACGTTAAGTGTTCAATGTAGATCTTTCCAGTTCGCAGTGAAGCGTGTATTTTAAATGAGTTTGCCCGCCGATAAAGAGGTGATAGTCGCTAAGTGTTTTCAAGTATGCGAGAACCTGTCGCTGTAATGATCTACTCTTCCATTAGACGGCATTTAAAGATGCCGACAAGCTGTGAAAATAATCCGTTGTTTCGGTAAACTGTTCATCTTGCGTAACGCACGATCGCCGGCCATGCAAGCTGAAATTGCCTTACAAGATGCTGAATGTTTTCAAAAAAATGCTAAAAAGTTCTAGATCAGAATAAGAGAACTGGTTCGTTAGTTTTCATTCTAACCATTGTAAGTGAATATTTTCAATAACATCAAAGGATTCTTCAAACGTCGCATGGTTTGTTCTGTTAATTGTTTTTTCTACGCATGAGCTGAAAAAGTGCCTATCGAAGCATATTCATTTTTTACTTCTGAAATGGCCTCTGAAGTCTTATGAAGAGCATTCCGCTGTTTATGTGAAGGACTTGAATCCCCGATTAGACTCGTGATTAATTTTGCTACACTAATGGTGGATTTCATACTTTAACAGAATGAAATCCACCATTAGTGTTATTATAAACACTCGTGTAGTTAACCTCGAGTGATTCTTTGTTTTCTCTTTAGATTAACAACTAGTAAGAATGCCTGGGTTTAGACTGGTTGGCTTTGCACAAATTCCTGCTAAATACCTTTGTAAGTCATGTGGTCTGCTATTGCGAGAAGCAGTACAAACCTGTTGCGGTCACCATTATTGCAAAACCTGCCTATTGGAGATTTTAACTCATGAACCGTGAGTAGATTGCAATTTCAATTTTTCTTTAATTTGCAATAGACTTAACAAATCTGGGGAGGTCTTATGATGTGATTTGCCGAAGAAGATGCTTTAAACATCTCCTAATTATAATGCATGTCATATGTTTTCACTGACCACCTCATGGGTGCACAATTTAAATATTAAGCCTTCACCACTATACATTACAATAAATGAGGGAATCATGACGAAACTACAAATGGTTACTGCAGCAATTAGATATACATCTTTAACAGCATGAATTGGTTCCATGCATTGCTGAAACAACACCTGCAAGCAGTTGAATCCATGATTCCCTGTCGACAGTGATCACACTTAATTATCTAAGTACATGCAATGTGATAAATCTGAATTCTTTAATGTCTATACTCTTCAGGTCTTCAGGGTCTGTGAAGTGTTTAGATGAGAGTTGCAACAGACCATTGGGGAAAAACTCGGTAAGTATGTCTATTTATTAAATTTGGAGTGTTGGAATGTAATATGTTTATTTTTTTGGTAAATTTTCATGTTCTATTTAATTTTTTATTTAGAAAGTTTGCATCAGGAGTGATAAGTTGGGTGAATGACTGTAGCAAGTAGCATATGTGCACATTATACAATGCTGGGTAATTTACACATTTTCTCATCAAACGTGACCAGATCTCGTTTACTATGTAATGAGAATACTGTACAAAAATTTTAAGATACAAATGTACATTTAGCTGTGTTGGTGCAGCTACATTGTTTTTAAACCTTTTCACTTTCAGAGCTGGTTAAGAATTAATTTCCCCTTTCAATATATCAATACACTGCATGGCAAGCAGATCAAAGATGGTAATCAGAGTATAAAGAGAGAGATATAAATTAATGGATATTATTTTATTTAACATTACATTATTGATTATTACCTTACATTATTGATTATAGAAAGTAAAGAGAAAAATTGAGATCTCAGGAGTGATTGTGGGTTTGGAATAAAAGATTGTCTTGTTGTGCAGTTACAGATCCTTAATTATTGAATGAGCATCTATTATTGGTAATGTTGATAAATGTTGGAAAACTTCAATGACTTTCTTGTTTAACTCTTTTCAATTGACAGTACTTTGATGACAACAGTTTTGGAAGAGAGATACTGAACATTGTAACTCTGTGTTTGTACAAAGATGCTGGATGTCAATGGATGGATGCTGTCAAAAATGCAGAAGTGAGTACAAAGATAACTTTAATACTAGATAAATTAATTAATAAAATGTCTTCAAAAAGTTGATTAAAAGACTGTTTAAAATGTTTCTTCTTTATTGGTTTGTCAAATAACTCTGATTGAAACATGAATTTGATTTACCTCATTTCCCCTTTCAAAACAATTAAGATGGATGTTTTGGAAATCTGGAGATGTAAGATCTTAAACCTCCAACAATATTAAAAAAAAATAAACCTTAAATTAACTGAAAACCTGTATAGTCACTATTTGCAATCTGTTCTTTGAATTGATTAGGGGTGTTTTGATTAAATGAAATATGGTATGCCATGGATAAAAGGTTTTTATTTTGAAGTATGGTCATTTGAATGCCAAGATAAAAGTTAAAATGATAGATAACCCTATAGTTGCTCTGTTTATTTATAACCTTGGAATTAATATTGTAAAACTATAGACTGAGAGACTTATTTTGCTTAATATTTGGTAATCATTTAAATTGCACATTGTGAAGTCCTATTGGCATGCATTGATTGTTTCCTAACATTATAGGAAATTAAGATATGTTTGATTTCTGTATACATTAAAAAAATATGGTGAGTGCATGAGTTTCAGCATTTTTCAGGCTGCTTAACAATTTAACAGCCATGACAAGTATAAAAAAAGATTTTGGCTCTTAAATGTACAGTGTAGCATGCTGTAATTAGCAGTCATGTAGCAAGATCATGTAAAATATTGATTATTGTTGCGTTTATATGGTTTGAAGTAAAAGTGAAATAAACATTTGGAATGGATAAAATGTTGAGTAATATAATTATTACTCATTGGGAGTGTACATAAGCACAAATTGTTCTCTTCCTTTTTCTTGGTTTCTGAATCAATAATTTAGGTGATCATTTCCTGATATTATGTCACTAATGTTAAAAACAGTTAAGCCTACATAGGAGTCCTGAACATTGTTAAAGTTAGGCCTAGCTTTTAACTACTATATACACATGTATGTCTGTGATAAATTTACATAACATTGTGTAAGAAGTATACATTGTAAAATGTTTTTAACATAACTAAAATAATGATAAGTACTTTTGATTCTCATATTACTTTCATTGGTTTGTAGCATCATTACCGAGAGTGCAATTTTAAGCCAACTATGTGCACCAATGCTGGCTGTAATCAAAACATACCATTGTGTGCATTAGCCCAACATCAGGAGAAGGAATGTCCCTTTAGAAATGTGGTGTGCCACTCATGCAATTCAGCAATCAAATGGACTGAGCACGCAGTAAGTTGCCAACAGTACATTCTGGAAACTTGAATGTACATGTAATTAAGACTTTAAAAGTATTAGCTTATTCTTATGAGATATACTTGCAGGTTTGAATCCTTCTTCGATACCTTTATTGGCTTAAAGGGCAGTGAGGCTTGCAGATTATTGAACAGATAAGTTTTTCCAGGAAAAGGATCCTCAGAAAGTTTGGTTGATCAAT